GAAGTTTGTCGTCGTTGTCCGGGTATTTCGCGGTTGGTTGAATTATGATACTCTAATCCAGCCAGATTGTATTATGGGGACCACACCTTATGGTCGTCTCAAGGGGTGCAGCAGGGTGATCCCCTTGGTCCTCTGCTTTTTGCATTGCTTTGGTATTACAACCCTTGGTGTGTAAAATCAGAGATACTTTTGATGTATGTCTTCAGGCTTGGTATTTAGATGACGGCACTATTATTGGTGACACATTGGTGGTGGGTAAGATTTTACAGCTGATTATGGAGGAAGGGCCTCGTTTTGGGTTACATCTTAACGTGGAAAAAACTGAAGTTTCTGGCCTACAGAAGACCCCGAAGCAGGCTTCTGGGTGTCTTTCCACCTAACATTGCTCGACCTTCGCGTGGTGTTAAGTTGCTTGGTGGTCCTGCTAGTTCTGATTCTGGTTTTAGTATTGAGCTTGTGATGCATAGGGTGACCAAGACCATTGCGCTTATGGATAAGGTTGCTACGCTGGATGATCCTCAGTGTGAGCTATTGTTACTTAGGGCTTGTACCGGAGTTTCTAAACTCTACCTTGCGTTGCGTACTTGTCCCCTAGTACTTTTGAGGCGGCTCAGCGCACATTTGACGGGACTCTTCGATCTTCTTTGGAGCGTATTGTTACTGCCTCAGGACCTGGGTTTGGCGATTGGCAGTGGCGGCTTGCAACTTTACCATTTGCGTTTGGAGGGCTTGGTGTTTATTCTGCAGGTGATGTTCGGCATTATGCTTTTCTTGCTTCTCGGTTACAGTCTACTGGGTTGCAGACAAAGCTTCTACGATATGCTGACATTGTTAGTCATGGTCGAGCTTTTGAAGACGCTTTGGGTCTGTTTAATGGCGTGGTGGAGTCTGATTTTTTAAGTAATCCTAGTGAGGTCGCTGCCCCGAAACTCATGAAGAAATTGGCAGATATATATTTCACGAAGGTTACCGATTCTGCAGAATCCACCTTTTCATTATCCCCTCGTCTATCAGTATTGTGGAAATCTCAGCAAGGAGATCACACGTCTGCTTGGCTTCGGGCTGTTCCTATTTCAAGATTGGGTCAGACTATGAACGCAAAGACTTACCGATGTGTGTAATGCTACCGATTGGGTGTTCCGTTGTTCTCTGCCTCGACACCGTGCTCTGCTTGTTCGAGGGTTTTTCCAGGGGATATTTTTGGCGATCACACGGTGTCGTGTGCTGGTATCGTGGGTATTAAACATGGACATAATGTTGTTCGGGATACCCTAGTAGATGTTTGCTATCGTTCTGGGATTTCAGCAAGGAAAGAGGTTGACATTGGGTTGTCTGGAGGGTACGACGAGACCCTCAGACCTGCTGATGTGTTACTTTATTCTTGGGATTGTGGTCGCGATGTCTGTGTAGATTTGACAGGATCTTCTCCTTGACACAGTCAGGGCTATCTGACTTTATTCCTGGACGGGTTGTGGCTGATGCAGCTCATCGGAAGCGGGTTAAGTATGAGGCTCGTTGTCAGGCGATTGGATATGGGTTCATTCCCTTCTCCTTTTCTTCGTTTGGTGAATTAGAGAAGCAGGTTGTTGCGTCGCTTAAGCGAATTCAGAGGTTCTCGACGACGCAAGACATTGGACACCTGCTGCAGCTCATATTTTTACTAGGGTAGGCTTTGCTATAGCTAGCAGAGTGGGGGCCCAGATTGTATCTCGGCTTCCCACTAATTTATTGTAGGTTGTATGACTTTTTGTTTTTGAGATAATAATAATAATAATAATAACACAAAAAAATAACAATAATAATTATAACAACAATAATAATAACAACAATAATAATTATAACAACAATAATAATAATAACAATAATAAAAATAACAATAATAACAATAAAAATAATAACAATAACAATAATAACAATAACAATAATAACAATAACAATAATAATAATAATAACAACAACAACAACAACAATAATAATAAGGCAAAAGCAAACGGACGCCCCGAGGGTGTTGGATAAGCTAGCTAAAAGTCGAAAGATTAAATTAAAATGAACATTAATTACACCAATCGACGCGATTTTGTCATGTTTTTCCAAATTAATACCATTTAGGCAATATTTTAAATGCTTATCCAATGTAGGGGTGTCAAACAGATCAGGTCGGGTCGGGTTCGTGTTCGTGTTCGGGTCAGCTGACCCCCAACCCGTACCTGATCCATTTAAGTTTTAGGGTTGAAAAATTGAACCTGAACTTGATATTTTTGGGTTTGGGTCAACCGAAAATGACCTAATTTGACCCAAAACTTTTTTTGGGTACAAAACAGGTTGCTAAATTCGGGTTGGGTCAACCCAGCCAAACTGATTTTGTTCATTCAATTGAATTTTAAATTTTTTAAGCAAAACAACAATTCAAACTCATAGTCTTATAAATTTACTTACCGGATTACAAACAAGTCTAATTAACAAATTACAAATTGGATTCAAAAGCTACGCTGATTTTTAAATACAATCTTTAATACTCTTTGTTTTGCCCATCCCTTATATTGGAATTAATGTTGTCCTCTTTGAATGAAATGGATTTGAGAGGCCGCTACTTGCTGGAATTACACAATAATACAACAATTAATTAAAACCAAAACATAATTAATTTGTTCACAAACATGCAGATAAATTAACAGGTAGAATTTATCAAATAAGTAAACAACTTCTCACAAAAAGAACATTATCAGCAAATAAAACCATGTAATAAAAAATTTTAACAAAATTAAGCATCATAAATTCATATGATACTAGAAATTAGCTTGACAAATTTGTATAAACACATTTACAACAAAAACTAACAACAAAAATCAGCAAAAACAAGGCAAAACCCGTATAACAATACAACAACATAACTTAACAGCAAAAAATAGCATGAAAAATACCTTGGATAGACGAAGGAGAGGCTGGGAAGAGGATTTTAGGGTTTGAACAACAATAGCTAGAGAGGATTTTAGGGGTTGAAGAGAGAGAAAAAATTTAAGAGAGATAAAGAGAATGGTAGAAAACGGTTGAGAGAGTGAATAGAAAGAGAGGAATTTAGGGTTTTTTTTATTTTATAAGGGGATCTATTCAAAGTTAGGCGGGACTAAAGGTTTCTTTAAGGGTTTTTTTTTATTTTTTTTTTAAAAAAACACTTAAATGTGTTCGGGTTATCAGGTCGGGTTCGGGTTGACCCGACATGATAATAAGCTGATTTTTTTTTGGGTTATGTGGGTCATATTTGGGTTGAGATTTTCAACCTTAACCTAACCCATTTAAATTTTGTGTCGAGTTTGTGTTGACCCATTTAAGTTTTCGGGTCGTAAACCACAACCCTAACCCGTTATTTTCAGGTCGGGTTTGTGTCGGGTTTTCTGGTCGAGTCAATTTTTGCCAGCCCTAATCCAACGCCTCGATGGTGTTCGTTATCAAGATCCTAATCTAATCATATAACTAATATATAAAGCTAAAATTTTAGCCAGGTGACGAGACAGCGACACTTGGCGTTCCAACTTTTCGCCAAGTGTTTTTTGCCAAGTGTCGTGCCACGTAGGATAGAGTTATACAGAATTCAATTTGTAGGATAAAAAAGTTCATTTAGAATTCTATTTTCAATCAAATTTGGATATAATTTAAGGATAAAATTGTTAAGGGTTTTTCTATATAGTAACCCTGTTTTTTTCACTTTTCTACGTTGTGCCCCAATATATATCACTTTCTACATTGTAACCCCAATATATTTTTTGTTTTCATACAGTAACCTTGCCGTTATCCTGCCATTAAAAAATTCCGTTAGTGGGGCCCACTCTCCATTATTAATATTTTTTTATCGATTTGCGCGTTGAAAAATATTCCGTCACAGGTTTCGGGGGCTATTTTTGCCCTTAAGGGTCTAAATTGAGCTCAGATTTGACAAAAAAATAACGTAAATGCCTCATTTTGCTTATTAAAAAATGTCTCGATTTACGTGTTCACATTTTAACACACAAAACGAGGCATTTACGTTATTTTTTTTGCCAAATATGAGCTCAATTTGGAGCCTTAAGGGACAGAATAGCCCCCGAAACCTTTGACGGAATATTTTTTCAACGCACAAATCGATAAAAAAATATTAATATTGGAGAGTGGGCCCCACTAACGGAATTTTTTAACGGCAAGATAACGGCAAAGTTACCGTATGGAAACAAAAAACATATTGGGGTTACAGTGTAGAAAGTGATATATGTTGGGGCACAACGTAGAAAAGTGAAAAAAACAGGGTTACTATATAGAAAAACCCAATTTTAATTTAGAGTTTTATTTTCGATAAAGTACGTACCAATATTTACAAATTGAATTATAATTTTATTCAAAAAATAATTACATTATAACTCTCATAAATTATCATATAATTTTATTTTTGGTATTATAATATTTCTTGGAGCGAAGGAATTAGTTCAAAATGTACCACATCTATTATTTATAATATATTCTAATCAGTTAAAATAACAATACTTCAAAATCTAATATAATTTTATTACTATGTGTAAACCTACCTGTCAATCGGGTCGGATCATGAGTCATTTCGGACAGGGTCATTATTTCAGGTTACGGGTCAAGAAATGTTTTCACCAATATTATTATTATTAGTCATTACATGCCTACTACGTAGTTTAAATTGTCACAAAATTAAAACACATAATTTCCTAACTAATTTGTACCAATGATATGTTTTAAAATTTGACATATAGATTAAAAATTAATCTTAAAATTCAATAAACAACTCGGGCATTGCACGGGCACAAAACTAGTATATATATATAAAGGGGAGTTTTTTTCCTGAGTTTTTAGATAGACACGTAGGATTTAATTTTTTCATTGCGCCGCGTAGGAATATAAATTTTAGTGATAGCCAATTAAATAAGAGATTATTAATTTCTTTTAGAATTAATTAATTCAAATGCCATATAAGTAAAATTGACGAATGATATTTTTAAGTTTAAATTAATTAAATATAAATATTATCTTTTGATATTAGAAATTTTATACAAATGTGTAACAAATTAGCACATAAATACAAGAAAAAAAAAAATTAAAAAATTTCAAATAAGACCCGGCCCCATTTATTTATCAGATGGATCTAACCCATATTATAACTATGGCGGGTCATGGCATTAAGAAGACCTCCATTCCTACCTCTCTCAGTTATTTCATTGAAGCGCACTCAACGTTCTCCATTGAAGCACAGTTGACGTTATCCGACGATGAATCAAATATCCCCCATTGAAGCAGCTTCTAAGGTAAGTTGTTTGTTGTTGTTGTTGTTATCATCATATCAATTTCACAATCTAGGGTTTATATTTGAGCTAATCTAATTTAATTATCAGTGCTGTAACTTTAGGGCTCGTAAATTCTTAGATTATGAAACATCATAACCAAAAGAAAAGAAAACTATGAGCATTATTGAATCAAATATCCCTAAAGTTATGTATTTTTCGTGATAATTGAATATGAAATTAAGTCTCGAAGCTGGGAATTTGCAATGATAGTGTGGCAAAGTTGTGACAGTAATTAAGGAGTAGGGAGTAAATGTGTAACATGATAATTTCGATATTCTACTATTTGTAGTATGTTGTTTACACATGATACAAAATTAAATGTAATGCAATACTCAACTTAATATATTGATGAATTGATGGATTGAGAAAAGCAGAAAAACTAATGCAATGGTTATTGCTTAAAATTTGAAAAACTAATGCAATTATGTTTTCTCTATATTTAGGAGTATAAAGAAAACAAAAGTTTGAAAGTGAATCCGGATTTTGTTGATGATGCTAAAAATGAAGCACAAGTAGGAAAAAAGGGCCTGACTAAGCACAAGGGTAAACACGACAAGGACAAGCCATGGGATGACCCCAGTATTGACCATTGGAAAATCGAAAAATTCGACCCTTCTTGGAACGAATCAGGCTTGCTCGATGTCAGTTCTTTCTCTACTATTTTCCCCCAATATCGAGGTTTGAAATTTATTTATTTATTTTGTTGTGCAATTGTATGAATTAGTTACTAAGCTAATTTTTAAATTTAATTGGGTTTTATTCTAAACCTATATTCATGTTAATTTACTACAAGTTGAAGTTACTGAGAAAATTTTGATTCAATGCTTTCATCGATTTATGGAATATGCCCTTTGTGCAAGCTGATAATTTGTGCTGAAGCCAATTTGTTTCAACAAATTTGTGTCTGTAAGCTACTTACATAACACCGCTCACACACTTAATTAGCTATTTTTGTAATTGCTAAACCAAGTTCAAAACAAATTAACTAACTAATCTACAATAAGAACACACAAAGACTTACATAAACATACCCGGCTTCTTCTTGATTCCAACCGCTTATACACAACCCACTAAGCTCAACCCAAAAATAAAAAAGTCAATTAATGAAGCTTACTATAATTGGGCCAGTTTTAGTTTTTTTTTGAAGAAATTGATTGGGCCAGATTAAACTAAGAAAATTTATAATACTTAACCACAATTAAAATCGCAACATAACACTACAAAATCACAATAATTAAATTAATCCAAAACATGAATAACATCTCAACCAAAATTAAAACTGGGTGAATTCAATCTGATGAGATCTAATTGCTATTGTAGATCCATCATAGATGATCAATCGAGTGCTTGTTGTTCCTTGATCAATTGATCTGATGAATACTTCGGATGATTTTGACATTGTTTGATGATCTCTCTCCTCCCCTGTTTCGATTGATTCAATGGGAAGAAGATGGAAGATGAATTGAAAAGAGGGGGAGCGTTGAACCATTGAGATTAAATTACGAGAATTGAGTGTGAAATTTGAGGAGGGAAAACAGAGAAATTAAAAGGAAAAAAAAATTAGGCTTATAGAAATAAATTAAAATCAAATTGAGATGTTAAAAATTCTATAGAATAAATCATATATAGAAAAAACAGAGAAATTAAAAACCAGAAATGAAAAATTCTCATGTCCGAAAACAAAGATGAAATTGTAAGCAAAAATAATCAATGAAAAGGCCAAGAAGAAAGATTAACTCTTGGTTGCTCTTGAAGAACAGCTCGTGCAGCCAGCTTTATTAGCTCCCAAAATATGGAGAAGGAGATGAGAGTGCACAGTGGAAAAGATGGGAGAAGAAGAGTGAGGAGAGAGATTGAATGAGATTCTTCAAAAGCAAAATAAAAGGTTTAGAGGAAAACTGGGAGTGGCAAAATAAACCATCATTTCACTAAAGGCAGGGGCAATAGAATCATTGCACTATTCATTTGAACATAGCTTATAAATACTTTATAGAAGGGTTAAAGATTAGTATGAACTTTAAACAACCAATTATTTTGAGATGACTTTAATTTTTGGTGCATTAATCTTTCTGGCAGGCTGGTGTCATCTTTCTTTCTCCCCCCCCCCCCCCCCCCCTTTTTTTTTTTTTGTTTGTATTACTTATAGTGTTTAGTTATTTAGTTATTCAATGCTGAATTTTCTTTTCATTATCTTTCAGAAAAATACCTGCAAGATGTTTGGCCAACGGTGAAGGCTGCATTGCGCGAGCATGGTATTTCGTGTGAGCTTAATTTGGTAGGGTTTTGCTCTTTGGCCTTCAAAATTGGACAAGCTTACATTTGATTTTTTGACAAACTAATAATATTGAGTATTGACTATATATATGTGGTTGTTGACTATTGATAATACTTTTTTAAGGTGGATTTATATATGTGGTTGTTGACTGTTGATAATAGTGTTTAAAGTGGTAGGTGGATTTATACTCAGTCCCCCCCCCCCTCCAAAAAAAATATCATTAAATGGTTGTAATTGTCAGATGTCATGCTTGTGATGGTAACAGAATTGTCATGGTTGGCTAACCAATGCCGCATGAAGGAACGACACTATTTAGATTAAGGATGTCATTGACAATGTTTACCATTGAGTTGTTGAGAATCAATCTATTGTTGATTACCTGAATTATCTCCTCACAGTCTCGGTGGTATTTTAGTTTGCACCAACCCGTTTTAGATAAGCTCTTTGATAAGGTTGAGGATTGCCAAGTGCTAACGCTTTAAGTTATGTTGTTGAAATTCCCAGGTTGTGGATCCTTTACACAGCTTTCATCTGGTTGGATGATTTGAGTCTAAGAAACCACCCATCTCCACTTTGGGAATTAGGATAGTGTTCGCTTATTGGGCATTCACCTTGGTGGTGTACTAAAGAGAAGAATCTCAGGGGTTTTGTAGAGGCTTACCTTTTGCTTCCAGTGCTGTTTTACTTGGGGTCTTGTGAATACATGTTTGTTATTATATTCAAGTTCATACTTATGAAAGGTTTACCTCAGCTAAATCTCCACTAATCCTCATTTAGGTTATTGAATACAGAAGTTATGGCTCCTGTAATCCATTTATGCAGTGTAATGGAAGTTTTCACTTGGGTATATAGACCAAGGTAGCTTAACATCTGGATTTTTGGAAAAGTGTAAGCCCTAACACATGATGGGATCAAGTCTAATGCCTCTTTTTTTAGGATTCTCATTGAATTCTATAGCATCACTTTTGAAGATATTCTGCTTGTGAAGAATATCCAATAATTCATATTCTGGAGCTTTCTTAGATTGTGAAATTACTAGAGAGTTGACTAAGAGTGTAGATACTATAATGGTCTCATTAAGTGGGCATAGCTTGACTTAGATGATTATATAACTCTATCTATCTGCACTCTCTTGCAGATTTTTCTAGGATCTTGTCTTTTGGTTCTTAATGTCTATTGTTAAAGGAATATTTCAAGAGTATGTTCTAGGGGATAAAGGGGAGTTAATGTGATAAGGGTGTTTGGGGGAATGAAATGTGGAGGTTTTTTTTAACCCACAAAAGATACATGAAAAACAATTGGGCCATCCGTATAAGTGGGAAGGAACATTTAGTGACAAAGGGAGTAACTGTTTATCTATCTCTTTCTTTTTGTTCAGGTTGAAGGTACCATGACTGTTTCAACAACTAGAAAGACCAGAGATCCATACATTATAGTGAAATCAAGGGACCTTATTAAACTTTTGTCAAGAAGTGTTCCGGCACCTCAGGTATGTCTTTAACTCTGTAGTTTATTTTTATTTTGCTAGTATCATCTCCCACAATTAAGATTCTGTTTCAATGCTTATGCAACACTTGTCTGTATCAGGCCATCCTCATTTGTATGAAATCCTCCATTCCTGTTTTTAATTGTAGTTTTGGGTGCACTTTGATATGGTTCTCTTATGTGTTGATTCACAGGCAATCAAGATACTCGATGACGAAATGCAATGTGACATTATCAAGATTGGTAATCTTGTGAGAAATAAGGTGTGGTTCATTCTGATGAAAATTGTTTTACTGTTTTTGCAATATTTGTCATTGGTGGAGTGTTTTTTCTACAAATTGTCAATTTATGTTCCTTACTTTTGATGCATGTATAATTTGTTGCTTTTCATCATTCATAATCTTTTGACAAACAAAATTGAAGATATAACTATGATTTGTCCCTTAAATGTTATACTTGTGTGTTTTCAGTTGGTTTAGGAATTTCAGAGCCTAAGCAAAAAGTTTGAGAGTAGAAAACTCCTGGTAGAAAGCTATGCTCGAAAACTCAAATCTTATAAGACTAACCTTAGGTTGACACTTTTTATGGTGCCACTTTCCTTAGAAAGTAGTAGTCAAACATCCTGTAATGCTTAAGGCAAATGGTCAATTCAACTGATAAAAGCATAAAGCTTGGTATTAATTACAAAGATGAGAACTGTTGAGAGGTTCTCTTTTGATCTTCTCTCCCAATATATTTTTCAAATTTCTTCACACCTCTTGTATACGATTACAATTGTTCATAAGTAATACCAACCTCTTTGTCTTCCTCTACCCATTTCCCATATTGTGCTCCACCTAGTGTTTCCTTCTTTTGTCTCATCCTCTGCTGGCCACTGCCTAGAGTACTTATGAGCACAGGTGGCCTGATTTAGTTTATCACATTGTCGTAGCCTCAAGTCTATATCCTTTATTGGACATACTTTTGTCCAGATGCCTATGAAGTCAGAATTTCCCATGTCTAACTCTTGGATCTCATAACTGAGCCAAACAACTGATAGGCTAACTATCATAGCAGGCTTCTATCTGTAAGTAATGTTACTTTAAAATTTTGGAAGATTTTAGGATATGCAGATTATACCATGAGTATCTTTTTAAGCTTTTCGATTCTTGGTCTTATGGGTGCAATCACTTAATTCAACTGTTAGTGAGAACAAAAAAATTTCCAGGGAACCGAAGAAGACTCAGTATGTTAGACAAAATTTTAAATTCTTAGGCAAATCAAGTTTCTCATCTAGGACTAGTTTCAGCAATTTTACTAGAACTTGCTGAACTGGAGAAAGGAAGGGCAGTTTGAGTTGTGGTGTTTCAGCTGTTTCCTTAAATGTTGAAAGTCCTAACACACATTAGTATCCATCAAAAGCCATGCTCCATTTCGTCCTTTTTTTGCTCTCTCCTTGTACCTTGTTCAAGGTTGCGAGGCTCAGCCTTTTTTTATCCGAACTGGTTGATCTTGATATCCTTCCCTTATTTTGGTTGAAGGTTTATCAAATTCATACTCAGATCATAAAACGTTATTTCAGTTGAAAAGAAAATAGCCTTAGCTACTAGTCATAACTTGAATTATTGAAAGCCATTCTGAATCAGCTTGACTCCCTAGTTCCATATTAACAAAAGGAACTATTAATAAAGATGAGCTCCCACTTGCAAAAGAACCCCATCTAATCAGAGCAACTTAAGTGATGTGTCCTGCAGAACTGCACAAATTAACCATCCCTGAAGCAAAATGATAACAGTACTTTCTGCCAGAATTGTTTGGCTACGGTTGTAGAGCACCTGGGTCAGAAAATCAGTAATAAATTCTTTTAGTACACTTTTTTTATTTTTTTTAAATATGTGTGGATAGAGTTATGTCTTCACCCAGACATTGTTTGTGTGATGTTAAACATGTAAAAGAAAGAGGAAGAGAATAGACGATGGGATGGGGGTGAAGAAAGGAGTATATTGTACATACACTAATACATAATAACATTTCTCCTTTGAGCAAAAAAAAACAAAAATGTTCAAGTAATTTCTCCCTACGGTCATCTCATGAAACTGCTCCTTCTTTAAGTCTTTATTTGCATGTGTTTAAGCTCAGGTTATATTGTTAGTAACTCACAACCAACCCATGTCCTTATGTGCATATTTTGTTTCATGTCCGATTCGCTGTCCAAAAGTGATAGTCTGTGGCTTTATGTGTATGACAGATACATTTCTTTGGAAGGATCTTGATTGGTTTGTTTTGCTAATTGTAGGCACGCTTTGTCAAAAGGAGACAACATCTTCTAGGTCCCAATAATTCTACCTTGAAGGTTTGTAATATTAATCTTATTATGGAGTTCTGCTTTTGAAAAACTGAGAGAAGTGAACTGTGTGGATCTTGTAGGAAGTTTTGTGCTATGCTGGACTGATGGCCAAAAGAATAGCTCAAACTTTATTCCATTCCCCCCCCCCCACACACACACACTTTTTCCCTCCCCTGAGGTTAACAAAGCTTTGTAGGGATTTCAGATATGAAGTTGGTAGGTGGATCGTTGGGAACATGCACTTAGTTCCTTGGCTTATTGTTTTGTACTGTATGCAGGCACTTGAAATCTTAACAGGCTGCTACATCCTTGTCCAGGTATGCATCAAGAACTTCTAGTTAATGTTGGAGATCCTTTCTTTTTGGAGCATTTTTTAGGAGTACCAGTCCTCTTTTAAGTAATACTGACTTGTGTAGCTGTATATCCAAAAGTGAAAGTGTTAATTTACCATCAAAAATAATTTTCTATTATTTTCCCAGAGATTCCATCACTGAAACATTCCTGCAGCCCTTGCCCCAAATTCTTTGTTTTCAGGAGGGTGAGGCTGTGTGCACCAGAGTTCAGATACCCCCAAAATATGATTATATTTTAATGCAAAGTTGGGATTATTAGGACTGGCCTTTTTTTTTTTTTTAAGATCATTCTTATAAATTGTCGATCCCTTTTTGCTCTTCTTGCCATTTATGCAGGGAAACACAGTTGCAGCCATGGGATCTTTTAAAGGATTGAAACAAGTGCGGAGAATTGTAGAAGACTGCATACAGAATAAAATGCATCCAATATATCATATCAAGGTACACAATAATCATCTGCTTCTCTGTTTGCTGTGTGTTGTAGACTTCAGCAGCTCTGCCTCAAACAGGATCTGGGTTTTGAAAAAAAAAAAAAAGAGAGAGGAAGGAGAGGGGGGGGGGGGGGAGGATTTTTGTTGCTTGTTGGTATTTCTCTGTTTCTCAACGACAGAGGTAATATTGCTCACTGGCTGCTGAAAAATTGAAGCCAACATTGTTGAATGAAGGCATTTGCTCTTGGGATATGGGAATATACACTTGTCATTGAAGTTATATACTCAATTAATTACTCACTCTGTTGTCCAATTTCATCGACAGATTCTCATGATGAAGAGGGAACTTGCCAAGGATCCCGCCCTTGCAACTGAGAACTGGGAAAGGTTTCTGCCACAGTTCAAGAAGTATGACTATTTGGATTGAAATTTATGTTAATATTTTAAAAAGCATTATATATCTGTGTCATCTAATTTTTTGTCTTCTTGAACTTCAGGAAGAATGTTCAGAAAAAGAAAGGCAAGGGTAAGGAGAAGAAACCTTATACTCCATTCCCCCCTCCACAGCAGCCTAGTAAGGTGAGAACTATAGTCCGTAAATCTTATCTATCTTGTGTGGAAGTTTCTAGCTTGTAAATAATGTGGTAAACTTATATGGATGGATGGCTGATTTCAGAAACACTTTTGTGGTTGATGTTGAAATTGTTATGTTTGGACACCTTTTTTTGTTCTTGTGAGCAATATTAACAAGTATACCCTGTAGATTGACCAACAACTGGAAACTGGAGAGTACTTCTGGAGTGAGGAAAAGAAGTCAACAAAGATGCGGCAAGAGAAGGAGGAGAAGCAGGCTGAGAAGACAGCTGAAAACAAACGAAAAAGAGAAGCTGCATTTATTCCACCTGAGGTTTGAGATGTTCAACTTTTCACTGGTAATCATTAAAGTTGTTTGCTTGAATTTTGACACCATGTGCTATTACATTACAGGAACTTGTGATGCAAGGGCATAATAGTGCAACAGATGGTAAAGGTGATGTCAGTTCCATGGCACTATCATTGAAGGTAATTGAGCAGAGCGATTTCATCCTTTTTAAACATTGCTTTGCTATACTTGGCTGGTTTGTTAAATTGGGGTTGCATAATTCTGCAGCAAAAATCAAAAGAATTTAAAAAGCAGAAATCTGCCAATCATGTGGATCCTCAAGCATATATCGCTGAAGCACCTGCTAAGAAGAAGATCAAAAGCTCGAAATCTTGACCCCTCAAGCATATATTGCTGAAGCACCGGCAAAGAAGAATAGAAGATCAAAAGCTCCAAATATTGACTGGAGAATCTTGGACTTACCAATTGAGCAAGAACTCACTGTATCATAATTTTCAACAATCCATATTTGCCAATTTTGATGTATTTGCCAATTTTGATGTTAGTGAAACTGATTATATTAGGTTGATATGGATTTCTAATACCATGAAGTTCAACATAATTTTATCTTTTAAGCTAATGTGTCTCAAAGCTTTGGGTTCAATTTTGGTTGATTTTTTGGTCCTAAGGGTATCATTTGTGAAACATAAAAAATTCCTTTGTTGCAAATAATAAGAAATAAGAAATAGTAATGTCGTAATAATAAAAAAATATGCTCCATCTATTATAAGTTCTTGGTATTAAATGGTTAAATTTACCAAATATTTAGAAGCGAAAGAGTAAAACTATTGGTCCCTTAAGATTTGCAGACATATAATATTAGATATCAATATTAGTAGGGTAGTTTCTAACTATACATACTGATTAAAACTATTTATTGCATTAATAATAACTATTTTTGACAAGAGTAATCATAATTAGTTGTTATTTTGATGCCTATGCTTCTTTCTTTGTTTCACATACAAAAAGATCATGTTATATAAAAACCTGCAAAACACAATACCTTAGACAACTGCATATAAAATTGAAAATGAGTCGGCCCAGGTTTATAACAGGGCATTATCGTCAATTCAGCTTCAAAAGTAAGGGTTAAAATGTCCAAGGCGATTTTGATGCCTAACTGCTGTTATGTTGGACGTTACTTTGCCTAGCTTAACCATGGTTACTTGGTGTTACACCAATCCAACACATCCGACTGTAAATACGAAACACGTGTCATTGTCTTTTTTAATTTGACCATGCTTTTTCAGTCCCTCATTGTTTGTTTCTTGTTCTTCTACCTAGCCATCAGATCTTCTTGTGGATTTGGTGTCGGGAACGCTGTTGTGTTCGTCGATCTGGGGAAATTGCGGAGGAGTTCTGTAAATTCATTTACTCGGATATCAGCGATTATCAGGTGCGTGTTTGTGTTGCTTCGTTACTCCAATTTGTTTGCGTTTTCAATGTGTTTGCGATAAAGTAGGTGTAATTTTCGATTTACTCCAATATCTTTGTTGTTTTGAATTTGAATTTTCCAATTTGAATTGGCTTATAATTTGCACAAGTGAGATGAAAATTAGGAGTTCTATTTGTGTTTGCTGGGTATAATCAACAGTGATTCCTGATAAAGGAGGTGTAATTCCTGATTTTACTCCATTTTCTCATTCGAACAAATTGTTTGCATCTTCAATTTCAAATTATTATGAGACGGAAATTAGGGGTTTGCTACTGTAATTGAGTTTAAAGTTGGAGTAATCTATCATTTACTCCAATTTTCTGCGTTTTCTATTTGAATTAGCATTTTGATATCGGTTAGCTGGTTAGTGAAGAGTGTTGTATGTCATGTAAATGTAGGCAAAATATTGGGGAGTAAATGTCGAAGAGGAAATTGGAGCCGAAGGTATGAGTTCACATATATTTTCTGCTTGTATCTTGTAATTTATGTGGTGATGAACAAATGGGTACTGATTAAGCCGCTGTCCAATGTAGGCTGGTTGTGCAAGGTCGAAAAGGAAATTGGTAGAGAAGGTATGATATTTCGCATACAAGTTCAGATACTAATGCTTATAATTGAATGATTCACATTGGTTGAATTGTCTTTGTTACAAAATGGAAACAGGACGTTGTGGGGGGTCAAGTGAATCAAAAAACAGAAGCACTGAATCCCCATGTGTGTTCAGGTAGAACAAAGGTCAGTCAACTCATACAACCTTGTTCAAACATCATGCTGAATCAAAAAAGTGAAGCACTGAAACCCTCTCATGCTTAAGTTCTTCAAACAATTTCAAAATTCACTAAAACCTTAGGAATTCAGGGCCGAAATCCTTTAGGAAAGAGTATATTACTCTGACCATATTCTTGGTGTCGCTTTTGAAATTCTTGTAAGTGTATTTGACGGGGATCCAACAAGACACTATCACCAGTTTGACTCTGGGACCTTGCAACTGATTTGGGAAATTTTATGTAATTCTGTTCCTCATTTTAGTTAAATTATTTATGATTATTTTCCAATGGTATGAGGTTCTGTCAAATACTTAACAACATAGCTTGTATCCTTCTCAATATCTCATTAATTTTCTGTTCACTTTAAATTAGTGACACATATGTAGTTCAATTTGTGTTAGACAGCTTGTCTTTCATAAACATCATGGTGTAGTCTGAAATGTATCCATTGTTGGTTTTGCCAGGCACCAAATTTGACTTGCCGTGTGGAGTCATTTGGAAGAATATGTCAGAAGTTTGACGAGAGACGGAAGAGGTGGGTGTCTGAAATGGGGTTTTCTGGCCTCCTTCATTTAGCTTCTGGGATGCATATGCCTAGGCAGTTGGCATATTGGTTGCTGAGTCGGGTGGATCCCATTTGGAAGATGTTGATTTCTCCCAAGGGGTCTGAGTTTAAGTTGTCAGCTAATCAAGTACATTGGATACTTGGCATCCCGAATGGTGGCAAGTGTGTTCCCTTGAAAAAAAATATGAGGCTAGATGTTAAGGACCAGGTTGAGAAGTTGCTCAGTCGATACAGTTATTCATGGGAAACAAAATGCACGAGATACAAAGGACGTGCGTATGTTGTGAAGGGCATCCATGTCAATTCCACTATAATGGATAGAGTTGAAGGTAATTGGGAAGAGAACGAGGAGGCTGAATTTAAGACCCTATTTCTCATTCTTTCACTTCATATGGTTCTCTTCTCTACACAGTCACCACGGTTATCTTCCGATTTGTTGCCTGCTTTGACTTGTGCAACTGAATGTGCTAAGTATGACTGGTGCAACTTAGTGCTGTCCAAATTTTTGTCTTCTGTCTCTTCATTTGCAAAGCGTTTAGATGCAACAGGAAATGGTGGTGGTAGCGGTGGCTGCTTGTTGTTTATTGTGGTTAGTACTTTAATCAAAATATCCGCGTTTAAATGTGTTGAACATATGATTTTGGTTTGTTGTTTCATGCCATAGTATCATGTGTTGGTTCCTGCCATAGTATCTTGTTTTGTTGTGTTGTCTTGGTTGTGTGCTGTATCCTTATGTAGTATCCTATTTTGCTTTGTTGGTTTTGTGTTGTCAAACCGTAGGTCTTTTACCTGGATCGGCTTATCAGGGATCCCCTTCGCTGGGGGACATTCCCCCGAATAACTGTTTGGGGGTAAACATGATATACGTCTTACAGCCAGAGATGATCGCATTAGCGATGTTGGCGAATTTGGCAAACTTGGGGTATGTTTCTCATCTGTTTGTGAAAATTCATTGATAATTAGTGAACATGTGGTTCGGCATTACTTAGTTAGAGTTTCCGTTCGACAGATGCTAAATGTTGCTTATGGTGAAACCCACCCTTTAGACACGAGGGATACCAGTGGACCTCCTGAATCCTGTTGTAAGGTACAATGTAGCAGTTGGTAGACGAATGTATTCCATGCTATCATATTGAAGGTTTATGTCTGCTGATAGTACTTGCTACACCTGCAGATCGAAGTCCCAGAAACGAACTCATCCCGAAAGCCCAGGCGAAGGAGGCCTTGGAAGGGTGCTGGTGTATCGTGGTTCAATTAAGTACGGCCAGAGGTACCTATTATCATGTAACGAAATGTGTCTTGTATTCTTAATGAGCTGATCGATTTGTTACTGAGTTTGGGCTGAATAATTGGACATTATAGCTTATAATGTGAAACAAAGGCTTGGGCTTAGCCCAAACCAAGTGGATGAACTTATTTTTGATAATCCTCTTAGCCCAAACTCACATATGATGATTTTTCTGAGTTTGGACTTAATAATTGAACATTAAATCTTGTAATGTGAAATAACGGCTTGGGCTTAGCCCAAACCAACTGGATGAACTACTTTTTAATAATTGTTTTCGCCCAAACTTACAAATGATGATTTTACCAGATTTTGTGAGTAATATTGTTCTTTAACATTTGGGCCTGGCCCAACCTACTAGATGGTCAATCCCAAACCCATACCAAAAGTTTTTGAGGGTAAAATAAGATTTGAAATCGCTTGATCCTTAATGATTCATGGTTATATAAATTTAGTTGTCTACCTCCTATACTAATGAAATGAATCAACCTGTAGACACCTAAAAATGTCTCCCCAAAATCAAACCCGATGATAAATAACCTTTCACCGCCTCTATTGGTCGGGTTTAGTATTTAATCCCGAGAGTGCTTAAAAAATCGTATTTTATTAAATTCATACTTTTGAAAGGTCCATGGATTAGTCTTGATGTTTGGTAAAAACATAGTTTTAATTTTAGCCCAAGCTTATTAATTAATTTTAAGCCCAAACCTTTTTATTTTATTATTTTATTATTTATTTTTGGCCCAAACATTTTATTTATTTTTATTTTATTATTTTCTTATTTTAGCCCGAATAATAAAAGTCAGAAAAAGACCGAAATTATCAATCGGCACTTAAAAAGCCGAAAGAAATTAGGGTTAAAAATGAATTTAGACGGAAAAATGGACTGGAAGTGACCGTGTCACGGTACAGTCTGACCGTGTCACAGGAACCCTTCCCGTCTGACGGTGGGACTTCCCGTGACACGGGAGGTCTGCCGTGACACGTGATGTTCCGTGTTCTTTCCGCGTAAACCCTTAACGCGTTTTTCATTCCGTTTTCTGAAAATTTCCCGCGTCACTCCAAAACAGACCGTGTCACGGGAAAGTGTACCGTTTGACGGTACAGTCTAACTGTGTCACGGTACAGTCTAACTGTGTCACGGGATACTTTTTTAGGGTTTTTATCATTTTAGGGTTCCGTGTGCTCCCTCAGCACATTTTCCCTATAAATACCCCCTCATTTCTGATGTACGGGGCAACCAGAATTTTATTATTCTTATTTTCTCTCTTCTATGCTATTAACCTAAACACTAGCCTACCCCTTTTACTTCAAAATTCCTTCTTCAAGCACTCAAAGGAGTCCATATTTTACTCGAGGTTCTGTCCTTAAGCCAAGGCGTGAAAGGTAGAATCGTTTGAGGGTTTGGACCAAATCAACTCTACTTTTTATTTAATTTAATTTTCATTTACTTTGTATTTTCATTGAAGTTACTAACAGTTTATTCATGATGTAGCAATTCAAAGGAACGCGCAGAATGTGAGTAATTAATTAATTTAATTACTCTTATTTTTAATATTGCTAGTATCATGATTAGGGTTGTTATTATTATTATTATTTGATTTGACTCACGTTATTATTGTTAAATTGCTTCCAATATTAATGTTTGTTCTATTATATTTATTGATCACCATATTGCATGTTTAAAGGGAATATGTAATTGAAAATCACGCCTAATAAGATAATTTGGACAACCGGTTTAGGATCCCTTTTAATCTTATTATTAATTGAAGTGATCACCAATATTTTAGAATTATGTGTGCATTAATCTTAAACCAATTTAGTTAAATAATAGTTTGGAGCAAATTGAATTATTGTTTGTATGCCTTTGAGATCACAGGAATGCTTTTCAATATAAGAATCGAGTAGAGGCCAATACAGGCGAATGTGACTCCATGACTCACTTCGTACCATCATCCCCGATCCTCCTTTCGTGGTTCCGAACCATATGGAGTTAATAATCTCATGGATTATGAATGGGGTGTAACCTTCACGGGTCAATCGTTGTCCCTTATCGTGCTTGCCTTTTTATGATCCGTGAACGGTTTACAAGTTCCTTAAAAACTTGTTGCCGGCTCCCTACTTTATTTGTCCCTAATCGTAATGTCAATTCCCACTTCCTATGAGTACCAAGCATATTCACCACATGCTTTTAACGTAGGCGCACTTCGAGCGACGCCTACAATTTGGCGACTCCACTGGGGAGGATTTTTAATTATTTGTCGATTTGAGTGATCGGTATTTAATTAAGATGAGTGGATGAGACTTGAAAGATTCTTGAAAAAATGTTCCTGTGATTAATTTGGCGATTTTGCATCTGCATAGACATTTTAACGTCGCATTCAGGTCGGTCCCGTAGGAAAAATTGGATAACTTGATTGCGCGCAAAAGCAAACAGGGCACCAGTCAGACTTTCTGACTGCCGTGTCACGACAGAGTCTGCCTAAAATCAGTCTGGTGGCCTATTTTCTTTTCTCACAGTCGACTTCCTTCGATTTTTCTGAAAAAACGTATGTGTTCTACATACGTCTTAGCCCCAGGGGATTTAAGCTCTATCGACAAAAAAACACTCATGGCAATAAGGGTTCATCCGAGTTATTAAATCCACCCAAACCATGGAGTCGAGTTCGATTTCATCACGAACTCGCGGAGCCGCCCGTTGGCATACACCCTCAAGGGAGGCTGCCTTGCTAACGCGTCCAAATTCTTAACCATGGTACCCTTTTGACACCCAAAGCTTGACCAATAGTTGAACATAGATCTTGACTCTAGGTTGCGAACTTTTTCCATCATCGTGCCTAAATGCTATGTGGTTGTTTGGTGTTAACCTTCATGTGTTTGCTCTTTTGTTTAACCCATGACCGAGGGTTTTTATTCTCACATAGTAATTAGTACAGACTTAAAATCGATTAAAATCTGAAAAATCACAAAAACTGACCTGGAACTGCGCACCGTGTCACGGCATATTCTGCTGTGTCACGGTGAGCAGTGCCGTGACACGGGAAAGTCTACCGTCTGACGGTAGACTGAACCGTGTCACGCCAGTCTGCACCGTGACACGGTGCCCAGGAAAGTGTTATGTCAGTCTTTTTTTCTCGATTTTTGTGTCCAGTATTGAGTCGTGTCTAGCTATACGATCAAAACACGCGTCCATAACCTCACTTAATCACTCACATGTCGTGTTCACACTTTTTTGCTTTAAGTTGTGCACCACTTTTTTTACCGTATTTTAGGGAAGTCTTGTTTTTGTGTTAAAAAAAAAAAGTCAAATATTCCCGTGACACGGGATGTTATCCCATCTGACGGGAGAAATGTCCCATGCCACGTCACCCCCTGGCAAAAAAAAAAAGCGTCAGTTAAGTCTTCCGTGTTAATTTGGTCCTTGCGTCAGTCATTTTGGTTATTGTTTACATGTCTAGCCATACGATCATACCACGAGTCTTATAACATCACTTAGTCACTCACGAGTCAAGTATAGTCCACACACTTTCTTTATGTTCTGACTCGAGTCGTGCACCAGGTCGTTTACGATCGTATATTAGATTCATGCACCCTTTTTTCGTCATAATAAAAAATGAGTGGAGTTTTCTCACCTGTTTTCAAATGTCTATTTTTTTTCCTTCCTTTCCTATCTTGAGCAATGAGTCAAACAATTAAGTGAATTATTTTATTTCACAGTACTTGTTCAAGGAACAGAGATAGATCAATACGGTTTGAGCCATTACCGCAACAATCTCTCAGATCTAATAGGCGTTCAAAGAGAACTTTGTCATCTCCATTACTCATCACCTTTCAATGGCTACTAAAGAAGACATTGAGAACATCAACAAATCCATTGAGGCACTGTCTTCCATGATGAAAACCCTTACCACTAGGGTCACTACCATGGAACAAAACAAGGTCACTGTTTCCACCCTTGACAAACTGAAGGAACAAATGAGTAAGATTTCTGAGGCTTTCACTTATGTGGAACGGCCTCCCACTCCTTTGAATGTGAAGGACAGACTCCCTGAAAAGTTATCCACTGCTGATATTCCAAAGTTCAATCCTACTGACAATCCAATATTCCATTTGAAGGCATTCTCTGTAACCATGGCTCTTAAGGGATTGGACGTAACACTCTTCCCTACGGTGTTCCTTCTCTCCTTAGAACATGCTTGCCAACAATGGTTCTATTCCCTAGATGTCAAGCGTACTGCGACTTGGCAAGATGTCACCGAAAGTTTCATGAATCGTTACAAGTGTAACATTCAAACTAAAACTTCTGAACGTGAACTCTCCATTCTCAAACAGAAAGAGAATGAAGGCTTCACCGCTTACCTGAACAGGTGGAGGGAAACAACTTCACTCTTGGTAGATCCCCCCAAAGAAAGAGAGATGGTTCGCCTCTTTATTCAAAATCTGACTCATAAATATAGGGAACATCTCAAATTTCTTCCACTGAACACTTTCGAAGCTGTATACGACATCGGCATCAATATCGAGGATGAGCTAATAAAGACTGCTGGTAGTAACAATAATAACACTTGGAAAGACAAGAAGAACGACCATCCTTCTTCTTCGTCTTCTAAGCACGAAAATACTACCAACAATATAAGCCAAGTTGATCTCAATGAAGTGCTAGCTCTTACTCCATTGCCCAAGAAGAAAAGATCTTACACTCCTTTAGGAATGACTTATGATGCGGCCTTTGATCGCCTTTACAGTTAAGGCCTGATCACACCTATTGGGCCATTTCCAGAGCCAAAACCTGAAGAAAGGAGCGCCAAATGTAATCCCAATGCCCATTGCAAGTACCATCAAGGAAGGGGCCACACTACGGAGCAATGTTGGAATTTGAAGGACGTCATTCAAGACTTGATGGATGCAAATAAACTTCCTGTCCCTCCAGGCGGCAAGAAGTAATGAATACAAGGCACACAGATCCTTCGTGCAAGATTTCATGCTTTTTTTATTCTTTTGTTTCAACCCTCTCCCCCAATAAGTCTAGCATAGGTTCCCGTTATCCATGTGTCTATGTGTCACATTTCTTACCTTCTTCATAAATGAGCATCTCTTTCTTACATTCGATCATGTGATTAGCAAAAAATAAAAAAATAAAAAAAAAATTTGCCGAACTAAACACTTGCAACCCTGTCATTCCCCATTAACCACTCAATCACATATCCAGTTCTTCATCAACTACTTTGAGCCTCGTCTAACATTTGGCCTTCATTTCTTCAACCCACATTCACTCAACCCTGGGATTTGAAGATGTGTAATTGTA